AAAAATGTACTTTTACTAAACACAAAGTAACGCCAACTTCTCTTACTTCATCTATTGATTTTTGAGGGGGTCTGTAACTAGAATCCGGAAAATCTAAATTAATCATATATTAACTTATGAAAACGTATTTTGTATATCAGAAGCTCTCAATCTACCCTCCACGAAAGGAACCCAAGAAATCACTAACCTGTTTATAATGATACTGCTGGCCAGCAGATGCTATAAACAGCGTATAGTAGTAATAACACGGACCGTAAATTACGAACGGTCATAGCAAGTTTTATATTGCCAAAAATACGTTTCACTGGACTGGTTTAAAAACGCTTTCTTGAAATGACTTGCACTGTGGATCATCTTTTGAACGTTCACAAAAGGCACAAATGCTCGCTACTATCTGCAAGTTTCTTTAAGGAAGTAGTGTACCCAACCGATGCTCGGTTTAAACGGCGATGAAAGAAGTAGCAGGCATTGAACTGCGAATAATTCGACCAACATGTTACTCCGGTTTGGTCGGCGAACAACTTAACGAAGCATAGCAGCCCGCCACGTGGGTCTGTCACAAGAAAGCATTTCATCATTTAGCAGCTGGAGGACTACTAGTCATTTAGATATGATAACGTATTACTGTCTCGTACAAAGATTTATTAACAATAATAGGGTAGAATATTAGAGTCGTCTCCTCGCTCGTTCAATAACTCTATTCACAACGCAGAACTAGCTCTTTTCTACCGTTCGTGAACTGCTATTACTGATATAACCTCGTACACCAATCACCATGCTGCACATGTAGCCCTGCCATGCCCTACAAATACTCATAAACTGAGGATCATGCTGAGATCCATCACAGTCGAGCTATCACCCACTAACCGGAAGTAATACACTGAAACCAGCTACAGTCGACTCATGCTATTTCACCGGAAGTCATATGCATGCTCCTGATGTCATGATCAACCGGAAGTAATACTGACACTTCGTAATCGAGCAGTGCCATCCACCAACATACGATACGCTGGGAATAGTCACTGCTGAGCAAAGAAATGCATCAGCCGATCGATATTTAGAAGTAATGTGACAATGGCCGCCGGTCGGAATACAGTATTTGGCTAGGGGTGTTAACTTGGTAGCAAAGTTCATGGTCCTAGTATCTGACGATTGCCATTAATAACTGCGCTGCCTCTAGATTAATAGAGCACAATAATTAAAGGTCAGTCAAGCGCCACAGACAACCAGGTCAATGGCGGCACTAAGTGGAAAACTCATAAGCGCAGAATGTGTTAGACGATAGATCTAATGCTGTGCCCGTTCGCTTTGCATAACTCCACAGGACGAGACGCATTCATGACAGACACTTGTTTCTATGGGAATGTGTACACGTACAGGGACGGTTTCTTATTAAATCGAGACCCACACTCCATTTTAAGTAGTCGAACATTGAAGCATTTGGCTTTGGATTAAAAGGCTAATAGCACACCTAAAACAGTAATCTGCTGAATATGGACATAACCCACAAATCAGGATTTAATGCAGGCTTGTTGAATAAACAAAAAAACGAATATTCGTATAATGCAATTTTCAATTACCTGCAGTAATTGAACGCCTTTTAATGTTTCGCAGTCGCTGCAGCTCATTCTTGGCAATCGTTTCTTTCTTGGCTTCCACTTTTTTACCAAGATAATCGTCGTACGGGTCTAAAATAATCATATCAAAGCATGTGGACAGCAGGAGGGGGATGTTTAGCCAAATTACGACTTTAAGCAGTGAGTAATTCGATTCTTAGCTATATCAGTTTTTGCTAGCAAATCAGATACAAATGAAGGTTACGAAATTTTCGATAGCTTGCAAAAGAACTGTGACATACAATAAAGCAGGCGAAACGAGAAAGGACTCCTGGAGAAAATGGCATTACAATGAATCACGTTGAATTTGACAGTAAGACTTGAACCAAATAACACGTTCGTTTTCATGCTGTTTGATGGAACTAAAAATTACAAACAATTGTGCTGCCGCATTGGTGATTTTACTGCCAAAAAAGGAGAGCACTGGCAGAACTACAGGCTAATCGATTTGCTGCGAGTCATCTACAAGATCTTCACAACGGTACTGACGAACAGAGTTCAAGAAAAACTGGACGCTGCACAGCAATAAAAAACTTAAGTAGGATTAAAGTGGATTTAGCATGGTGGATCATCTTCATGTGGTGCAACAAGTAAATTACAAAAGCAGTGAGTATCAGCTTCCCCTGAGTTCGTCGATTTCGACTTAATATATATCCGTTCTGCACTGAATTAATGCATTTACCAAGGAACCGAGGA